GGACTTCCTGAAAGCAGTATTATTGAAGTTTGGTTTTATAGGCCCAATACTGAACGCTATCTTGGCTTTATATTCCACGCCTAACGCAAAGGTACTCACTTCCGGACTCCTCTCCGCACTCGCCAGGGGTGCCCCCTTTCCCCTATTATATTTGTTCTAGTAATGGAATCTCTCGCGACTCTAATTCGTTCACATCCCCACATTCATGGCATTGAAGTAGGCCCCACAACCAATAAAATAGGTCTATTTGCGGATGATGTAGTCCTTATACTCTCTCGCCCACTAACATCCCTTCCCGCTGTAAGACTCCTTCTAGACCGATTTAGCGAAGTCTCATATTACAAGATCAACAACACAAAATCTCACCTCCTATGTCTCAATATTTCCCCCTCTCTACAACTAACTTCACAAGCAGCTTACCATATATGCATTTTGTTATGTATGCTTCACTTGACTTCAATAAAGAACTATTGAAAGTAAACTGAATACAGAATGTCATGAAAAATACATGAGGAGAGGCTTCCATTTATGATAAAACTTCATGCTAAATGAATGCATACCAAGGAACTATCTGCCACTGAACATACATTCAAATGTAAATTTTTCCTGTATACTGTACAATGTGACAGGTTCAGTTTAAGCCATCCGGCAGTACAATACACAATGGACATGAAGTGTATTTTCTTGCATACCCTATAAAAACGATGGCGAACCTATGGTACACATGCCACAGAGGGCACGCAGAGGCTCCTCTGGTGGCACGTGAGCCTAGGCGGGGGGTGTCGTATTTATATCACTCGACGCCCGGGACATGCAGTTCCGGGCGCCGGGTGGGTAGCTTTTTTCCACAGCGGGGAAGTCACAGTTCGTTTAGTACAAGTAATCTCGGTGATGCTGCCGAGATCACTTGTAATAAGCCTGCTGGTCTGCCCCCCACTCCCTCCATGGTCCACCCCCATCGCTGGCTGCCTCTCTTAACGCTGACTGCTTCCCTCCACGCCATGATTTTCGGGGTCCCCCGCTCTTCTGGGGGACCCGGGACCACAGCAGATTAGTTCAGGATGGAGGGCAGGGAGCACAATGGAGAACGTCTGTTCTTCGGTCTGCTCCGTGTTAACTGTGAGACAGAAATGCTGTACTCACTGCCTTCCCATCTCAGCTGTCAAAGGAGAGCCAACTCCTGTATAGGAGGCGACTGGTTCCAGAACGAGAACCTGTCAATTCCAAATGCTATCACACAGGGGATTGTTAGCTCCTGTGTGATAGCAATAAAGTTAAGATAAATAAAAATGTAAAAAAAAAAGTGATAAAGAATTTTTTTTTTTTATTAAAAGCAGCACTGCCACCCCCCGCTATCTACATGTGAATAAACGCATGAGCAGGGCATTGTATGTGTGAGTGCTGCCCCCATTCCTCTGTGTGCCATATTGTGGTAGCAGGGCAGCAGATTTATGCACAATGTGCATAAAAGGACAAGATCACTTCCCCAAGTAATTTGGGAAAATGGAATCACCCGCTCATATCTGGCCCCCTCTCCATCCCTGCTATACTTACTTTTCAGCGAACAGTCCTTTCCCTCCACTCCACTGGTACTTGTGTACTATCTGTACCCCATACTGCCATCAAGCATTACCTGGCCACCTTCACCTCCCTGATGACCCACAACCCTCTCTGGTCACAGCACCTCCCACTCACAGAAGCTACATACAGACCAGAGAAAGGGCAGAGGGATCCAATCTGTCTGATTAAAAAATAAAACCCTGCATACCAGCAGCTGTAGCCTGGATCTCTACCGTAGATGGCTGCAGATAGACCAAGGCTGGCAGAGGGAGCCAGCAGGAAAAAAAAGCGTATTGCCAACCCACCTTTCTGCACTGAATGCTTCATGCAAGTACACATCTGTGCCACCTACCCCCACTTCCAGACTGCAGCAGACACCTACCATCATACCCTTTGAATGTTTCTCCTACACCTATTCCTGTTGCCTTACTCCACTGTTGTCGTAGTCCTCTCCTGCACATAATGCCTTCTGACATACCATTCTTACTTTTCTTCTGCTCATTCTGTCTGCCTTTTTTCTGCGGGAAGGAAGACCTTGGATAGGGCCATGCCCTAGACCAGGTACAGGTACTCCAAGGAACGAGTGGGTTCCAGGGTCAAGTTCTGGAGATTCAGGACCTATCCAAAGCTTTGCATGATTTGCATCATCTGATGAATGTGGGATGATGAGGCTTCTGTTGACTGCACTCTGAAGAGACGGTCGTTCACTAACGGGATCCTTTGAGACTGCAGCAGAGCCAAAACAGGGGCAAGCACCTTGGTGAATGTGGGGGAAACAAATTGGTAGTGTTGTCTGTCCACAACATAACAGAGAAAGCATTGATGGGAATGAAAAATCTGTATGTACTAATATGCATCATTAAAGTCCACTGATGCAGTCTCCTGGGTGGAGGGAGGCAATGACAGAGCGGGCAGACTTCATCTGGAACTTTGGTACCCACAGGAACCTTCATATTGAGAGTATGGTGGACCCCTCTTTGCTTTGGGAACAGTGAACAGTTTGGAGTAGAATCCCTGAAAATTACAGAAATACTTTGCAGGTCAATGTACATTTGTTTGATCTAGACTAATTATTGAAAACAAGTTTGAAAGTTTAATACTGCCCCGGTTGGTTTCTGTGGATGATTTCTGTGGATGATTTTAAAGCAAGGCTGTGGTTTGATAATGCAGGGCAAAGCAATAGGTTAACTTTGGGGGCCCATGCATACCTGACTGCTCTGCTTAGTTAATGCACTTTATGTTGCCTATTTACATGTGCATTAAGGCAGAAAAATGATTTAAATGGGCTTGCAACACATCAAAACTGGAGCTATACCATTCATTCCTGACACAGTAGTAGTGCATTAGCATGTGTTCTGGTGTGTTGCAATGCATGTGCATCATAGATGCCTTGCCTTAGAGCGTTCTGTTCAGGTCTACTGGGAAGAAACCACATTTATCCCTGTGTAACCTCCAAGATTTTCTCCAATCACAGAAAGATAAATAAAATGGCAGGGAAGCAACAAAAAAAGGGGCTGGTCAGCCTGCCATTAAAGTAAATCTGTGATCTGTTGCGTTGTCGTTCATGGGCACAGCACAGGTTCAATTTAAGTAATTATTCATTTGATAGTACCATTTCCTGACATTAAATAGTTCT